ACACGATTTCATCCAATCACTTTACACAGTTAAAGATTCGAATTCCGTAACCGTATTTTTTAAAGTCTATCCGATTTCCCCACGCTGAGATGAATTTTGCATTACGTTCCATTCTTGTTGCCGCTGGTGTAGATGTATTACTTTTTCTAAGCAGACCCTCACTCGAAATAAAATTTTAAATATATATATATATATATATATATATATATATATATATATATATATATATATATATATATATATATATATATATATATATATATATATATATATATATATATATATATATATATATCTCGCGTAATTGAAATGGAAAAAAAAAGTAAAAACACGAAATTAAGTCCGACGCCAGATATACGAGCCTCAACCGAATGCATCTTGTAAAATTATTCAAAAAGATATGTACGCTGACGCCCTAATGAGAGGCAGAAGGATGCGAACGGAAACATAAAACGATCCCTGTTTCACCCCAACCCTCTGCAGGCCCCCCACCCCCATCGCTTGACCCCCCGATGTAATCTACGACCCTGGTTCAAATCAAACTATGTATGTTTTTTTTTCAGATTGCATATCTATCACATAGACGACCCGCATTAGTTTGTCATTATTCCTCAATTCATTCCGCAAAGATTCAGATATTTCATCATGCACCGGGCGGGGGAGGGGGTGGAGGAAAGGCGTCAGGGCTAACGGAACGAAGAGAATTAAATAAATGGAAAGCTAAGCCCTACAGGGGGTTAGATTCCTAGCATCTATTATCTCTCTTACAATCTGTTCCTCTCTCATCATTTTTCTTTCGTGGTTTTTTTTTTACTTTCTTTTTTTTCCGTATCTTTCATCTAAAAAAATTATACGGGCACTTTGTATATTCTATCTAGCCTTGAGAAAAATACATTAATTTCTAATATATATATATATATATATATATATATATATATATATATATATATATATATATATATATATATATATATATATATATATATTCAGCTTAAGCAAAGCAGGCTGGGTCTCTAGCATAAGGAATCTTTTTTTTTTCTTTTTTCTTGTATATTTATTTCTAGTGCCGCTACGTTTTAAGTGTGTATTATTGAACAAATAAATTCCCTTTCTAAGGTTTAAACTTAAACTTAACTTTACAAGCATTTGGCTACATAGTCTAATAGACCATTGGATGTTTTCGCATTAGAAGGGCACAAAGCCTGGGCCCTAAATTGAGAAGAGTCAGATGTTGCCCATGTTTCAGAGACCCTCTCTCTACATATCTGAGGGACCCAAGAGACAAGACGTAACCTGTACAGTTTGGAATCAGTTATAATAACGAGCGCGACTCCCATATTGGCTTATGCACAAACTCCCATAATTCAAGTCACTCCCACACCCCCATAAACACGAACACACACACACGCATGCACGCGCACACACAAATACATGCACGCAAGCATATGTTCTGTGTCTCTCTTTATATGTATATATATATATATATATATATATATATATATATATATATATATATATATATATATATATATATATATATATATATATACACCCATGTAAGTGCATTAGTTGAATCCAATGCTCCCCGTTTAGAGCAGCATGAAAGACGCAATAACGTCCCTGGCCAAACAAGGAAGCAAACGTACAGTGACCCGGTACATTGTGCTGCAATAGGCTAGACGCGGGGTCTAATGGAATTATTCCACTCACCGGATCACAATCCGATGTACCGGGTCCCGGAAATCCAATGCCGTCTACTGAACCGGAAGTGATATACAAGTGCAATCCTAGGTTGACGCCACGGAAAAAAAATAAAATTGAATTTTTTCAAGTGCAGAAAAAAAATAATTGTGAATGCTAGATTTGATTATTTAAAAATAGACACATTAGATTTTAGATCACGGTTTAGGGTTTTTGAAAAATTGGTGATTAAATGTTGAATTGTGGGAGTTTGGTCGTGCATAGGCTAATTATGGGAGTCGCACTGGTTAATGTAAGGTAACATTGTGGCTAATATAGTGGAGCATGAGGGCTATTATAGTGGAGTATAGTATCTAATATGGTGGAGTATGGTGGCTAATATGGTGGAGCATGATGGCTAATATTGTGGAGTATGGTGGCTAATATGGTGGAGTATGGTGGCTAATATGGTGGAGCATGGTTAAGGGGTCATCCATAAATGACGTCACGCTTTTTTGGACGATTTTTACCTCCCCCCCTCCCCTCCGTCACACGTCGTCACAAAAAGTCAGACCCCCCCCCCCTAAAATGACGTCACACCTCAACCTACAACCCCCCTCAAAATTGCAGTTGAATTTTTTTAAAACATCGATATTTTTCCAAAATCTTGTCTAAACTATTACAATTTATTAAAACAGTTATCTAAAACGTGAAAAAACGTCTAAAATTTGTTTTCTAACATTGCTTTTTTATAATGCAAAAATGTGACGTCGCAACATCTAACCCCCCCCCCCCTCCCCCTCATCACACATCGTCACAAAATTACGGACCCCCCCTCCCCCCTACGAGTGTGACGTCATTTATGGATGACCCCTTATCTTGATATAGCGTCGCATCAGTAAAGAAGAATAACAGTGATAAGGGAAATAACTTTTGACAATATTTCTATTTTTTTTAATAAAATAGCAACAATTACCTCTTGGCTAGTAAATAAACAATAAGGAACTAAGATTTTTAGCCGTTTTTATTTATGAAAATTGTTTAAGTGCCCTAGATGTTGAAGTACAGTACGTTTCTAAAAAGTGGAATTTTGGAGTTGTTAAAAAATAACACAAAACCGCGCGTTTATTATCAACCGTATTCAATATTTATACGTCTTTCTTTTATTTTTTAAACTCTAATCAGTTGTTCAAACTTTTCGTTCATACAATAAAATATATCGTTTTAATGCTAACTGATCTGGTGGTATTGTTTAACAAAATTAAAAAAAAAAAATATTTGATTGAAAATAAAATCACCACGCCGAGGGGAAAAAATCCCTTGAATCATCATTAAAATACACATTTGCATTTTCAGGTTGGGTTTTTTTTTTTTTTTAAATTTTATTTTATATTTAGACGTTTTGTATTAGATCTATGTATAAGTAAACCATCTTAAATGAATGAAAGTAGGCTACAAGTAAGAAAGAAATATTACTATTGTGAATCTGTATCAGTCCTCACAAGCCGGTAATGAAAAATGTAATACTAAAGCGAACACACACAACTGACGCTGTAAATTACATGTCTGAGGCAAAAAAAAAAAAAATTATTAAAATAAAATGTAGATCTAGATCTAGTACTTTAAACATCTTGTTTAAACGATATAAATAACTTTGTCTAAAGGTATACTTTTTTTTTTAAAGTTGGGCGAGGTTTGCCAAAATGTTTTTTTGGGACGAATGGACAATTACCCTCATGAAAACCTGTTTTTCGACAATCGTCTTTGGCCCCCTTAAAGAAAATCATACTAATCCACGCCACGGGATCTTTTTACAAGCGGGATGTCATATTTTTAATAGCTTTTTGTATTGTTTTAGCATGCTGTTGATCTAAATATAGCAATCACGCCAAGTGTAAAAATAATTCAGAGGCGTAGCGACCCTTCCCTGCGCCCGGGGACAAATTTTCAATTTGGCGCCCCCCTCGGGAGCAAATTTTAAATTTGCACCCCCCCCCCCTCAAACTTTCGATTTGCACCCCCCCTCGAACTTTTGATTTGCACCCCCCCCCCCTCAAACTGCAAAAATGCAGCTAAAATGACATTTTCATTTGTTTTTACAACCCATTTTGGCGCCCCCTAGGCTACGCCACTGAAATAATTATAATACTTTGAAGTACTATCTGATATATCATCCTATGTTAAAAATGATACATTTTACAATTTAAAAAAATACCGAAGTAAAATAGCTGTACGATTTAGAAAATGTGTCTGAAAATTGGGGTTCTATGTCTTTTTATTACCTTTTAAATTAATCTGAAAATTACAATAAGTTTAAGTTCTTATCATCCCGAATCTGATGAAGAAATAATATTGTATTAAAAAAAAATGACTAACTCAAGATTTATGGAATTACAGTGATGTGCATTTTTTCGACCTAATTAATTGAATTATTTTTAAATACTGAAATTAATGTGTAGCTTTTAAAGTTACGTTTTCTGTCGCCGCATATGTCAGTCGTTATCGAAGAAAGAACACGTTGTCTATGGTGAAAGTATAGGCAGCTGAGCATAGTGATGACCACACTATCCCTTTATATACCCAAATGCATCTTTAGGTCTAACGAGAAATCATTACTTTTACTTTACTATATAACGTCATGATTTTTAACAATGGATTTTCTTTAGTTCCTGCTTGTAACCCTACACAACTGATCATATCCTCCCCTACACAACATCATGCCCCCCCCCTTCACATCTGACCATACCCCTCCCCTACACAACTTATCACAACCCTCCCCTACACAACTGATCATACCCTCCCCTACACAACATCATGCCTCCCCTACACATCTGACCATACCCCTCCCCTACACAACATCATGCCTCCCCTACACATCTGACCATACCCCTCCCCTACACAACATCATGCCTCCCCTACACAACTTATCACAACCCTCCCCTACACAACTGATCATACCCTCCCCTACACAACATCATGCCTCCCCTACACAACTGACCATACCCCTCCCTTACACAACATCATGCACCCCCCTACACAACTGATCATACCCCCTCCCCTACACAACTTATCACAACCCCTCCCCTACACAACTGGTCATACCCTCCCCTATACAACATCATGCCCCCCCCCTACACAACTGATCATACCCCCCTGTTATAACTGGGGACTATTTGCCCCTCAGCTATGCACTGAGAGTGTTTATACTACCATCAAGTTCCTCTCTAACCAATTCAGTATTCACCCTAGAGTTCTCACAACTACGGCCACATCAACATTAACAAATGACTTGACCGGATGTTTTTATCTACCCCCACCAGATGGAAGACGTAGACGCCCCTGACCCTGAAGCCCCCCAGCCCATCAACTCCAGCTTCCAGGACGTGCTCCAGCTGTACGACGAGATGTCCGTTAGCAGCTCGGACAACTTCGTCATCATGCTAGTCTACGTGCCCGTCTTCCTCGTCGCCTTCTTCGGCAACCTCGTCGTCTTGCTCGTCATCCTCACCGACGCGCGCATGCGCAAGAGCGCGGCCAATTACTTCCTGGTCAACCTGGCCGTGACGGATCTGCTGGGTGAGTCGAATTTTAATTAGTTAATTAGGTCACGCATGTTTGTTTCACTGATTCATAAACACAAGCACGGTTTCTTTCACTTGAAAATTTCTCGGGTGGGGGGGGGGGCGAAGTGAATTTTCCACACACACACACACCACACACACACACACACATATATATATATATATTATATATATATATATATATATATATATATATATATATATATATATATATATATATATATATATATATATATATATATATAATACATAATGTTTTTTTTAAATTTACATTTTATTGTTCATACATTTCATACATAAATGCTCATATTAAAGATATAAATGCACCAATATATAATTTTACATTAATCTATGCATAAATATATTTTCATACATTCATATATGCGTGTAAATATGTATATATTATGGGTATACATGTGTATAATATATGTTTAATTAAAAAATGCATACATACAAGCATATACTTAATTATATGCACATCCTGGTATATATATATATATATATATATATATATATATATATATATATATATATATATATATATATATATATATATATATATATAGTTTCCTACTGACATTTACATTAGCCTCTAAAGATTAGTCATATTGGGAACGTGTTACCTTTTAAAACCTACGTATCAACAGCTGTCTTGCATCTAGCGGAAAACACATTTACATTCATGGGCAAGCTTACCACTTCTCGTTACTTGGTTGTGTTTGTCTGCATGTTATGACAAGTTGTAATATGTATGTTTATCCTGTTGTTGGGGTGGTGATTTGTCTTGGATGTGAGGATTTCGGTCATACACTAATCCACATATTTTGGAGTTGGCTGCGGACTGCAACATTAATGTATATATTTGAAACATACAAAGTGATTACTACTATATCTCTAGATTGCTGTATACAAAACAACAACAACAACAACAACAACAACAACAACAAAAAAAGAACAACTAAGATTTGACATTATTTAGAGAGCGAACAACTTCCTACTATTATTTACACGTTTACCATATTTGCACTTGACAACTGCGTTAGGTGGTGACCGGCTCAATTTTCAATGGGCGATCTGAAATAATGGAACATGGCACGATAGGCCGTATGCTGAACACCCCCCCCCTCCCCCACCACCACACTCCTCCCCACCCATCTACCACCTGCCTACCCCTGCCCAAAAACGGTTCTTGATTTAGACAGACCAAATATCCAACAGCTGATATTGTATTAACTTTCTGGAATTTAACCCCCTCGTTCCCCCCATTTCTGATTACACATCGTGTTCAGTCCTGGAGAGACGATACCATCGGGTATTTCCACAGGGATCCGGTAATTCCCGCAAGATGGCGTGCAGGCCCGCAAGAGGGGGCCTGCGTCAACTGGCCTGATTAACCCAAGCCTAATCTGATCTGGCTAGAGTTATCTCACTTCGTTAATCGGCTTTTGTTTTGGGACTACGTGCTGGTCATCTAATCATGGCAGACGTTTTTTTTTTAAACCAGACATCGAGGTTAATTTTATTAAAAAAAAAATTCAGTGTTGACATTGTCAAAATTAAAACGGGTTGATTGAATTAATCTTCTCCGCATTTGCTGCGTACTATAATACTCTTTCAATTAATTTTTACTTATTAATTTAATGTTATCATTTTGAAAAATTATATATTCTTGCGTTGTCGTTGGAGATGCGCGTATATGAAAATAAATTCTTTATATTAGAAACGGGTCTAGATTAAGTTTCACGTTTTGACCAGAATCGACAGAAAAACAGACCCTGGTAATCAAGTAAAAGTTTGTACACGTTTGATCGGAAACCACAGACAGATACTAATAATTAAGTAAAAGTTTGTACATGTTTTGACAAGAATCGATAGAAAAACAGACATTGATAATTAAGTAAAAGTTTGTACATGTTTTGACAGGAATCGACAGACAAACAGACCCTGATAATTAACTAAAAGTTTGTAAATATGGGGGAGTTGGTGCTGTTCCTGGTTTAATTATGGCTTATATAGTCGTGTATATATTATAAATATGTAAATATGTATACTCTGGTTGGCGACAAAGTGGGAAGACCAATCCCATAAATACGGATAATTGGGATGAAAGGACAGACAAGGGGAGGTCAAAATTGTGTAGGTTTGTCTGAACTTAAACCTAATCAAAGAAGACATCTAAATTAATCTGATGTAGGTTAAGCAGGCTAGGATAACACCCATGGGTTTAGATTAAGGTTAACGACCGTGTAGATAACACTCTCCCGGGTTTTTTTTATTAAAGATGTTTCTGCTTTTGCACGAACAGATTTTTGTTTTCTTCTGGGAAACGGCGTCATTCGTTTTATTAAGTGTTTTTGTGCGCGATATTTTTATTAAAAAAAAAAAAAGTTCTCTTGACGGTAAATAGGCCAGACGAAGTTGAGTTCATCTGTTTTTATGCCTTTGGCTCGTGAAGGGACAGTGTAGCTTGTTATATTACCAGACATTTTTTCTATCACTAGGTCGGGTGGGGTATCTGTAATAAGCAAGTAGAACAAAGGACGTTCTACAGAATAGAGCCCTAAACTTCTTTTAGTACACTATAAAGTGGGATTGAGCTCCCTTAGACTTTCGCCTGTATTCGTGTATAACAGTATAGATAAGGGATGACACTTTTGGCTGAACTGGGCTATAGAAAGGGTAGGTAAAAAAAAATAGCTCGTTTTTTTCAAGAAAAAAGAATTATGGCGCAAAGTTCTTAGAATATGCTGTTCAATGAAAATATTATATATAGGCCTAATTATCAAATTCTGAAGGTTTTAGAGAAATGGGAAATAGATTAAATTATCACTTCCGGTTACCGGAATAGGTAACTACGTATACGATCCAAATACTTATTAATTAAGTCCACCTAACTGAAATGTACTCTATTAATGTTAACACACAAACATACAGACGGCATTGAAAAACTTACACAGGAATATGTAAAACATCGAGATTCGTCAATGTTTGCACGATTCCACTTATCCCTCTCTCTATCTCTCTCTCTCTCTCCCGTTCTTTCTCTCTCTCTCTCTTTCTTTCTCTCCCTCTCTCCCCCCCCCTTCCCCCCGCTCCCCCAAATTAGCGATTCACGAGAAAGTAAAAATTTTACTATTTCAATAAAGTAGTTAAAAATTGAAATTGGCCGCATTTGTTAAGGTTAATCTTGTTGGTAATTCTTTAAATTTTATCTGAAAATGTCAAAATGTATTTGTACTCTGTCCCCTTTTTATCTACGTTCAAACCAGTAAAACGCTTCTTAAGCTAAAAAAAAAGTATGTTAATCTCGAAATATAAAATAAAAAATGTAATTATTGCACAAAATAAGAAAACATCACCCCCTTGACGCCACATTAACTGTCTGCTGTTTACAATATCACCATCAGTAAAAGCGAGATAACGCCAATAAAGAGTTTTTGGACAAGGTTAATTAATATCGTACTTTTTCTCGTAGATCTTTTCATGCGCCGGAATCTCACAGGAGCCAACTTGGCAGAGTAAATAAATAGTTTATTCCGAAATCTGGCCAAAAGATTTCAAATGGCTAGACATTGAATTGATTGTGTTGTCTGGGGCGGGCGGAAACGACCGACTACAAGCGGAGAGTAACGAGGAAAGGGGAAAGAACTCACAATACTTGACATTACTGTCTGGGTATAAACTGGCCAGATCAAGAAGCTAAAAATTGGCCACATTTTTTTTTATGTCGTTGGTCGAATTGGATTTGACGTCGTTTCATCAGTGACCTAATTCTAATGTTGTTGGTTATACATGAAGAACGATACGCCAAGGAACAAAAATAATAATCTCTTAATGGATTCGAATGTCAGCTAATACCGCTGAAATAAAATACTGGTGACATTATCAAACAGAGCTACAACGTAAAGACGTGTTTGTTTTAATTAAATGAGGCGATAAGAACTTTAATTAAATCTAACGACAATTAGATCTAATCAGAGGGTTATCATGACCTGGCTTTTTTTTCTTTGACTAATTATATTTAATTTTGCGAATTCAGTGCAGGTGTTCTACATACGCTAAATTTACCAGTCATGTTTTTAACGCATTTTAAAAAATAAAGAAATAAAAATGTTATGATTTAATTTAAAGGAAAAGTGTTTTTTATAATTCATTGTTAGGGAGATCTACATTAGCTTCAATTAGGAAAATATATGATCCGGACAGAGTTATGACCGGTGCGTTTTTAATGGACACACACACACACAGACACACGCAAACTCACACGCGCACGGATACACACACAGATACACACGCACACATACACACACATATACACACATACGCACGCGCGCACACACTCACGCACACATGCACACACACGCACGCATGAGCGCATACACACACATACTCACCCAAAAAACACGCACTGTAAGTGGTGTAAAGTTACCTTTTCTAATGATGAAGTAGAGTCCGTCTGTTTGTATATTACCTCGGTTTTGAAATGACAGTGCGGTCAGCATCATGGTCCAACACCTTTACCTAAAATGAGTCAGGTACTCATTAGAACTGCGTGGACTCATGAACGCCCTATGGACTCAAACCCGAGATCCGAACTCGGGACTTTCTTGTTAGCATTTATACGCTCTAGACACCGACCACAAAGTTTCGTACAACTGCTCTAAGTTGGCTAAATATTGCTCTAATATTTTTAAACACTTTGTTTTAAAAAAAAATAAATACTTCGACTTTATTCAAGGGAACTCGGGCAGATGAGGCTCGTAAGCTGGGGACAGCCACTCTTCTAGGAGAGACAACTCCAAAATCAAAACAATTGCTGCCTTGTAGTTTATTCTTGGTTGGACAAAGGCTATGGAAGAAAATCCAAAAAGCAAAGCATTCTGTTATCGGGAGTAAATGGCCTCAAGGGCGCATAACCACTTGACACATATCCTTAATTGTGTTGAGGGGGATCCCTTCCAACACTAAAATTAAGAACGAAGAAGAAGATTCAAG